GAGGACATCGATAGTTTTGAGGCAAGTTCGCACAAAGTTTTGTAGCGCTTCGCATTAGACTCACATCCTCCCACTTTCCCTAAAGAACAGTCATGGTATGAGGCAAATGGCTTTTCGATCTCAGCAGCATCACTGCAATGCACCCCTGCGGCACCACAAAACTGTACAAATTCAGGCTTTCGAGTATTGGCACCTGCTGTGACACCCCTATTTCATGGAGCTAAGAGTGTGTCGCCGATTACTGTTTTTGACCTATCAGTTAGAACTATCTCAGTGTAAACGCAATCTCTCTGTAGGTGTATGTCTGGCAGGATTTCCTGTCGGCGTTTCTCTTCCCATCAGTGGAGGTTCTGAGTAAAATAATAATAACAACAGTCAAATATTAGGTTTTTCTTCCTTTAAAATGCACATTTCCGCTGTTGCAATCCGGCAAAAATGTATTCAGTTTCTAATCTAATATGAACTGGAGGCATCGAAAGATTTCATTTGTGGTAGCTAGCCATGAACAGCGCGTTATATCTTGTCATTATATCCCGATAAATATTTGTTTCACGTTTCTCATGTTACGATAAATGTTACCAGTTTCGATTACCTCATGCTCCCGTTATTTCAGAATATACAAACTTGTTTTACAGCGGAAAGCCATCGTTAAATAAAACGAGAATGAGAATTTAGGATCTCGCTTGAGTTAGACTACAGACAACACAGAGATGAAATCACTGATTCTAGGTGTTGCATAAATTTTATGGAATGCCTCTTTATTGCATTAGCAAAGCGGCCAGATTATCGAGAAGACAAACGGAGGAATACAAGATAGGGGCTATCACCAACAACCTAAGTAGCGAAGAACTGCTACGCTTAGAAAAAACTCTTCACACTAAATCTTTACTCGACGTAGCCTCGATCATAATGAACCAACCATAGTGACAGCTGTTGCAAACTACAAGGTAAGTTTAGTTGCTGACCCGCAGAGCTCTGGATCCAGGCAAGACCGAGCAAAGTGACATGCGATCAGGACATTTACCTCTCTGCATAATGGGGCTATTTAGATGAACTTCGGAAATGAGGAAGCGGCAATTCGGATGACATCTTTACGATCTTATATGACCGAAGTAGTCCAAGGATGCGTGACGTCATACGAAATATGAAAGGTTTTGCTAGAATGTGTTAGAACTTAACACTCTCCTGTCAATCATTAAAATTTACACGTCGTAGACTGTCTCTTCGTTTCTAATAGCCCATGGGACGGCTTATGCAAGCAATGGCTCCTTGGTACTGTAGCACGTGCTGCGCATGAACTTTAAAGATCACCATTTGGGTAGGTCGACAGATATGTCACTCCCTAGGGCTATATGCCAAAATTAAACTCT